CCAGCCTTTCAGGGGAGCTGGTGCAGGGGCATCCGGGGGAGTCAAGGCTCTCTAGGGCACAGACCAGGGGACCCCATCCCAAGTCCCGGGGGGTCTTGCTGCCTCCGCGTGAGGCCCTGACCTCGCTTATCTTGTGGCCGTGAATGTTCAACAGCGTGCACCCCTGCACCCTGAGGGTCATTTCCTGCCACCGCGCCGTCTCTGTTCCCGCTCTGGGACATCGAGACGGACTGTGCCAGACCAGAGGTTAGCACCCGGCGGCCTCTGGTGTGCCTGCTGTGGCCAGTACTGACTTGCCTAAGTGCCCGTGAGGCGTGATTTCAAGGTGGCAGGAGACCTCCCACGCACAGCCACGCATGAACCCGGTGGCTGGATTTCATCCTGTTTTCACGAGCCGTTCCTCACTTGCCGATCCTCCAGGACAGAACCGCCTCCCAAGGTGCCCACGCCAGGGCTGTCCCTGCAAGCATGCCACTGTGCTTTCATGGTTTCATCCTCCTTTGAAACACTGCACGCCTGGCTTCACGGCACCCACGTCCACGCTGCTCTCGCTCACGTCCCGCCCCATCTCCAGCTCTGCATCTTGAGAGACCCATTGACCCATCCTCAGCCGACCTCTCCCTAACCCCCTCCAAAACAAGGACACGGAGCAACGACACCCCGTCTTCCAGTTACACGCATTTTCGGGGGTAGGGTGGGGGTGGCGGGGCTGCATCCGCAGAAGGACGGCTGAGGTTGGGTTCCAGGGAGGGTGTGAAATCTTCTTGGAGAGCCAAGTGGCCATGGGCTTGGCGGCTCCAGGAGGCAAAGTGGAACTTGAGCTTGGATTGTTCCCTCTCCAGACCTCCCAGGTCCGGCCTTGGGAAGCCTCCCAGGACAGCCCAAGGGGCCTGGCCGGCTTGGCTCAGATGCCCGAACCCCTCTGTCACTTGGCCCCCACAGTAGATCTCACACCTTGCAGAGAAGGAGCCCACTCTCCTGCCTCCCTGCCCGGGTCTGCTCCTGAGCCTGTTCTGCCCTCACATTCTTGCTTTCTGCTTCTTTCGTGGGATGAGCATCAGGCGCTGGTGGACACCACTGCAGTCAAGGGCCCAAGGTGTGAGCAATGTCTCCCACGGGGGCAAAGAGGAGTCTGGAGATTGGGGGACGGCGTTGGGGGTGGATGGGGTTGCATGCACACAGTCTCCCAGGGTGCACAGAACGAGGGGGTCGGAAGGACCCCATCCATGGTGTGAAAGCAGCTACTGATGGAGACCATCTGTGCAAAGGATGGAAGACAAGGCCGGCTAGGAGCGGACGACCCCACCAGCCAGATCTGAAATCCCGGGAGAGGAAAGCCTCATGCATCATGAGACACACACGGACTGGGACCCCAGAATTGCTCAAAGGAGCAAGCTCATCCCTCGTAGTGGAAGCAGTGACCTCCAGCCTCAGCACAGTGTTGAGCCGGATACCAAGCACCTGGGGCCTCCCAACTATTCAATAAAGCCACCAGGGACGATATATTCATGGGACCCTGGAGGCTCCGAGGAAAGGGTGCCAACTTGCTCACGTGGGACACCATCATGTTGGTCCTCCTCATCCAGAACGGATGCCTGCACTCGGTGGCCTGGAAGAGCTCAGCGTGCAGACAGCCAAGAAGACCATGCATGCAGACACCCTTCTTGCTCCTCATATGCAACCCAGAGCCACTTGCAGGACTCCTGGAATTCTGGGGACCGATCTGTGACATTTTGATCTGATGCCGGAATGGATCTGTAACATTTTTATGCATGCACACTATGCTCCGGGATGCAGTTTTTATAACACAGAGAATGTAATTCTCTGGCCGAGCCAGAGAATCCGACGTGGGAGAGGTGTCAACCTCAACGGGAGCCCCGTCCACCTCAGTGGGGGCCCCATCCTCAGGTCCAGCTGCCGAGGTTGAGAGGCGGAGGGCGGCTCATCTCAGGAGAGCCTGCTCTTGGCCCTTTGCTCACTGTGGACAATGTCCCCTCATCTGTTTGTGGAGAAGGAAGCCCAGGGGACGTGAATGGTCCCACGCATCGTCCATCACTCATACCCCAGTGGCTGCCACCCCAGTTTCTTAACTGGTGTCCCATGTTGATGCATGCGTCATTCTCCAAACCACATTCAGACCAACCCCACATGTGATTCTGGCCGTGTTGGCCCGCTGCTTAGACCACACAGTGGCCCCCCGAAGGCCAAAGCCAAATAAGGCCGTCAAGGGCAACGGTAGGTGTGTCTTTGCTGGGCTGGGGTTTGGGCCCGCCAACAATGTCATTGCTGGTGGGGTCAATGGGCCATGTTGGATCCCCTTGACCTGTGCAGGGGCTGGAGGCTGAGGTCAGCAACGTGGGTGGTCAGCCATGCCTATGTGATTGGCCCCCAACCCAAACCCTGCTCACCAAGCCCGGGGGAACTCCCCTGTTGGCTGTTGCCACACATCATTTCCGGGACAGTTGAGTGCTCCACTGGGAGAGGACACCTGGAAGCTCACACCTGGCATCTCCTGGACGTCACCTATGCTCATTTTTCCTCCGCTGGTTTTAATGTGTATACTTTCACTGAGATAAACCACAACTCCAGGTATAACAGCATTTCTGAGTTCTGAGTCCTCCTAGTAAATTTTGAAAACTCAGGGTCATCTTTGGGACCCCTGATCTGCAGAAACATGGCTAATATTACAAGGGAGATGAATTTTGTTTGTCCCAGAGACATGGACGTCTAAGGAATCTGGAAAAGCTAAGGTTGTCCTCCCGTGGGTCAGAAGGGTCTGTGGTTCCACCACTGCTGGCCAGACCAGACCAATGTTCTCCAAGACCCGGCCTCCTGCTCTGACACCCATGGGGCCAGGGGAACCAGAGGGGTGAGTGGGGTCAGAGGGAGACAGGAACTCAGTGGGAAGACCACAGAACATCATCTTGCACGATCCTTTGACAACCTGGTGTGGAAGTGACTCAGACCGATCTTTCTGGTGGCCACCCCCGTCTGCCCCTTCTGCATACCTTGGGCTCCAGAGGCCAGTCACATCCATGTTCGTGTGGTTACCTGTGGAGTGTCTGACACCTACCACAGACTGTAAGATCCACCAGGACAAGAAAAGTATCTCTCTGTCTTACTCAATGCTAGCAGGCTACGGAACGTTGGAACATTTTGTGAATACGCGCATTCATGTGTTTCCAAATCATCAAACTTACCAACAATTTTCAAATTTTTTTTTGACCGACTGCAGTGCAAAAGGATGAGCAAAATACTTCAAGAAACACGCAGAAGTAGAAGACATGATCTCGGCCTCTAAAGAACTTACACACTAGCTGCAGAATTAAGGCTGGCGGATCCCATCAACAACAGAATACGTAGACAGCTAAGGGGGGAAAAAACGTGCAGGATAGAAAACAGGAGATGTAATGATCCAAAGGGATGGCACGTAAATGGTGCCAGAGCATTTTGGCACAAGCGTCTAGAAAATGGAACACTGCCTGGCGTGCACGCAAAGAAAAGATATTTTGTCAATGCCGTGAATTCTGGTCTAAGTTCAGAAGGAAAACGAGAGATGTGAGAGGAGAGACCATCTATTTTGTGAGTGAGGGGCAGAGCCTGTCCAGCGTCTGCAAACATGGATGGGAAAAGCATACAGCTCTTTAGTCCTCAATTTCTCCAGATTCTTCCAAACCTCAAATTGCAATTGGACAGTGATGCTGTGAACCAGTGAACACAGGCAATCTGTCATGTACATCAAAGTCGACTTTGGATTTTAAGGGAAGATGGTTGTGTTTTTGTTGTAGGGTTGCCTCTGTTGACCCTCAGGAGCCCACCGAGGATCTGAGGATGGTGAGGACCAGGGGAGGAAGAAGACCGGAAGGAACTCATCATGTCTTGGGTCGCTCACAATTTGTTCTCTGCGGCCCTCCAACGGCCCCTCCCTGCTGACGTGTCTCCATCACTTCTCCAAGGACAAAGTATTCAATGAGGTGACACATGTCTATACACTGTTAGCTCTATTTATGACATTGTGTTCCCCACTTTTCTCCTCCCCCCGTAACAGAGACCCACGAATCTAGGGCTCTACTATACCGGCCCTTCCCGCTCCTGTTTATGGGTCATCCCATGGATACTGAGAGGATTCTTCTATGGAGATTTTATTTCACAATCAGTTTCCCCACACTGAACCTCTTGTAAAGTATTTTGCAGCTCCCAAGGCAGGACAGAGAGCGTCCTAGTGCTTTGTCAGTGGGGAAATGCCTCTCTTGTGTGGTTGCAAGTTACTCAAGGTCATGCCGCCATGAGCACAGCTCTTGTGGCCCACAAGAAAGAAAGTGGGCTCCTCCCTGGACTCTGGTGGCGTTTCTTTAATGAAGACATGGCTCCTCAAGTGGTCTCAGACAGGTTCTGGGCAACAGGGCAGAGAACACAGGAAACCACAGGACTTTGTTCTCTCGGGTAATTTGAGGTGCTGTGGACACAGGCTTACGTCCATCCACATAGGCAAAAACTCTTTTGATTCCTCTTCAAGGAGTGTGTGCCAAGCTTGCTTCCTGCCCAAACCCTGGGTGATGGGTTTTCTTTGATGAAGACAACCCTTATTTTGGTGCCTGTAAGAATTCCCTCTTTTGCCAGGGCCTGTGACTCACCAGGTCACAGATCCACATGCAGCGGGAGGCAAGGTGTTGCAAGCCTGGTGAAGAGTCACCAGAAGGACTCCCGGTCCCCTGGCCACCATAGTTCTGTTGCAGACAAGAACCTCTCCATCCTGATGACATCACATGCCAGGGCCTGGGAGCCTGCATCAACTTACTCTGCGGGGTGAATGGGGTGGGGGGGTGCAGTGATGCTGGCCTGCTTCCAGTTCTGGAGACCAGAAGTCAGATCCACACGGGGCATGACCACTGAGATCCAGGCGGGGCAGAACCCCTGAGATCCAGGCGGGGCAGGGCCGCCGAGATCCAGGCGGGGCAGGGCCGCCGAGATCCAGGCGGGGCAGAACCCCTGAGATCCAGGCGGGGCAGGGCCATGCTCCCTCCCAAGGCTCCAGAGGAGGGTCTTACCTGTCTCTTCCAGCTCGTGGGGCTCCAGGCATCCCTGAGCCTGTGGCCGCGTCCCTCCCGTCTCTGCCTCTGTCCTCACGTGGCTTCTCCTCTGTGTCTGTGTTTCTCCGCTTGTGTCTCTTACAAGGATGCTTGTCATTGGATTTAGGGCCACCCTGATCCAGGATGAGCTCATCTCAGATTATTCACTTATTCACACCTGCAAATAGCTTATTTCCAAATAAGTGTCCATTCACAGGTACTGGTGGTGAGGACGTGGATGTATCCTTTGGGGCCACGACAGAACCCTCTATACTCTTCTTGCAGCTATAAGGGGGATCCTGCTCTGTCTTTCAAGTTCTCAAGGTGACTGTCCTCGGCTGTGGACCAGGTCAGTGGATCCGTGCTGCACCCCAGGACAGCACCAGGAAGCTGCTGCTGGGGACCATCCAGTGATGGCCTCCTTCTGGGACCATTCCTCCTGAGGACACCAGGAATGCCTCACACCTCACTCAACGTTCACCCGAGTGCCCAGCACAGAGACTGGGCACCCGAAGGCTGACAATTTAGGTTGCTAGTGTGTTTAAATGTGTAGCCAGCCAGAGTGCTGCACACATGTGCACAACCAACTCTGGGCCCCAAAGGAGATCCGTAGCAGATACTGATTGATTTAGGATCTGGTGATAAATCAGGGGCGACCTCTGATATCACAGGCAGAACCCTGGTAGCCAGGGAAATGTTTCGAAGGATGATGTTGCCCGTCACAAACAAGCTTGTCCTACAGGTCTGGCAGCCAAATGTCTCATGATTGGTGTGTGCCTACTCAGGGGGTCACGGCAACCAAGGAGGATGGAAGGGGTGTGGGGACGTCGGAGTCTCTCCATCCTGCCCTTCTTCTTATTGCTCAGGGTTTCTTGTGTCTATACCCAGGGCTCCCACTGCTCTGGAAACAGAAGACCCCACAGTATCCATGGCGGTCTGTGTTTTTATGACCACGGAGCTGTTTCTCTGCATGCCACCTCCTCACCCACCAAAATGTCTCAGGCACAAAAGCCTGATGGTCAACATTGCCTTTAAAGAAAAAAACCCCAAAAGGCACTGTTCACACTCCCTCTCTGACAACGCTTTTCTGTAGCAACAAGGTGTCTCTTGTCCATTGGAAGAGAACAAGATTATTGGCTGTGGACCTCACAGGCGGGCCGTCCTTGCACATTCTGGTGGTGTTCATTTAGATCGCTGTGATGTTTGAAAACACCGAGACTGTCACGGGGCAAATCCCGCCACAGATTTAAGGATAGTAAATTACCGCACACCATTGTTTCTCTTCACTGAGTCATTCACTGGAGATGCTGAGGTCAGATGGGCTTATCTGCAGGATATGGAGAGGGTGGCTGATGAAGGTGTGGGGCCCCAGGGGCCCCGAGTCCTAAAGATGAGCTAAAACAAGGAACAAAACTTCTCGCTCGGCTCCCTGCCCCTGGACAGGGGCCAGAGTTCTCTATACCACTGTGCAGGTGGCGTAGGCAAGATGTTTTCAGATGCATTAGAACCCATTCCGTTGTGTTATTTCAAATATGTTCCATTCGCACATAGTCTCAAGAACACATTTCAAAATGCACGGTGCGATCTTTGGTCAAAATATAGATTAAAAGCTTTCGAGAAGCATTCTGTGCTTCTGACATAATGACCTGTGCTCTCTACGGTTCTCGAGACGGAGGCTAATTATTTAGTCAATGTGGATGTACCGTAAACGCATGCCCTTTTAGGGAAGTGTTAGCTAGGCTTTGCTCAGATGTCTGTGAGGATTTCTTTATTCCAACCACATCATGACTTCTAACCATTGCTGTTGGAAAGATAAGTCAGGGTTTTAATGGATGGCCACGTTTTTCGTTTTGTTTTTACTTAAAGAACAATTGCCATGCTGTCTAGGTTTTTTTCTCTCTTTATAACCAGATGTACAATCAAGGGAAAGGGATGCAGAGCACTTGGGAAACTTGCCCTGATCCTGGGCTCCTGAGGTCCTGGACTCAGTGCACACGTTTGCTCTCAAGAGCTGTGTCTGTGGGTTTATCGCTGAGTGGGTGTCCTACAGTAAATGGCCACCACCTTGGTGGCTTCTGATGGCACAAAAGTATCCTGTCACCGTTCTGGAGGGCAAAAGTCCAAAATGGGTCTCATGGGGCTAAAAGCAAGGTGTTGGCTAGGCTGGCTCTTCCTGGAGGCTCTGGGGGAGAATCTGTCCCTTCCCCTTTTCCAGCTTCTGGAAGCCGCCTGAGTGCCTGGGCTCTTGGTTGCTCCTGCCATTGGGAAGAGAGCGTCTTCCAATCTCTGGGCACGACTTCACTTCTAGCTGCTCACCTCCTCCTCAAACTCTGACCCCCTTGGACTCGGTCTTAGAAGGACAGTTATGGTGACATTTAGGACACACCCAGATAACCAGGATGATCTCCCATCTCAAAAATCATTGACTCAGTTACATCTGCAAAGTCCCTCTTGCCATGTGTCTTAGTCTGTAGGGGCTGCTGTAACACAACACGGCAGACGGAGGGGCTTATAAACAACGATGAGAACTAAATGTTTCATGGTTCTGGAGGCTGGAAGTCTGAGACCGATGTGCCGGCACATTTGGTGTCAGGTGAGGCCCTGCCTCCTGGTTCCTAGATGCGCATCTTGCCACTCTATCCTCTTATGGAGGAAGGGGAAGGGGGCTCCTTGGGGTCTCTTTTATAGGAACATTTACCCCATTAATGAGGGCTTCACCCCCATGATGTAATCACCTCCCAAAACCCCACATCCTAATACCACTGCATTGAGGTTAGGGGTTCAGCCTATTTGGGGGGACATAGATATTCAGACCATAATGTCGTAAAAGGTAACATTCACAGGTTTCAGGGACCAGGACATGGATGTCTTCAGGGACCCGAAGATTCGGATATGGCTGTCTTGGGGGCCTGCACTTCTAACCACGAGGCAACACTACTTCTCTGGAAGTACCCTCCATCTGTAGTGTCACTGAGGGCTGGCCCCAAACACCCTAACAATATAGCTCCATGCCCATCCCAGCCCTGCATCCTCTCACCCTCACCTGGCTGCATATTCCTCTGGGGCATTTGTCACCGCCAACCTGTGTTCTATATTTATGTCTATGCAGTTATGCTATCACCTCCATGGGGACTGGGCTTGTCAGTGCTGCAGAGCCTGGCACATAGTAGGTGCTCAATAAATGCTTTCTCCTTGACCAAAGGAAGGATTGCCATCAGTTTCATCTCTGGTCCCCACATCACTTGGAAACTCCCCATAATGACTCTATCCAATATGGCAGCCAATGAGAACATGTGGCTGTTTAAATGTAAATTATTACAGTTAATTAAGCATTCAGTTAGTCGGCTAGCTCACCTATCCAGTGCCCAGTAGCCATATGTGGTGTTTTAAATGTAAATTAATTACAATTAATTAAAGTAAATGCCCAATTCCTCAGTTGCTCTAGTCACACATGGCTGGCAGCTGCCATATTGGACAGTGCAGAATTTCCATCCTCAGAGAGACTTCTGGGTTGTATTGTGTCCCCCAAAGAAGATATGCGGAAGTCCTGGTTCCCAGTACTTTGGAATCAGACCTTATTTGGAAATAGGGTCTTTGCAGATGTAATCAGGCTACAACGGATCCTAAAGCAATATAACTAGTGTCCTCACAAGGAGAAATTCCGACACAGACACACACGAAGGGACAATGATGTGAAGAGTCCCAGTGATGATAATCATGTGAAGATGGGGGCGGAGACCGGAGTGATGGGGGAGTAAGCCAAAGGGCACGTCTCACAGGATAAGGATGGGTGGGGCCGACCCGGTAGAACAGGGTGCACGAAATTCTGCAGCCACCCTCTTCTCGGGGAGACAGCTGAAACCAGGGACGCTGGGAGTTCAGCACACGCATTCCCCTTTGAAAGTTGATTTCCTGAGACAGTCCTAAAATATCTGCTTTTGAACCATTTGGGTCAGCATGGAGTCCACCTCTCTTGTAACCCCTCGGCTGTACCATTAATACCCATCAGGAAAGCTCGCCGATGAACTGCCCCAAGTTCTGGGTCTGACCTGACTGCAAACTGCGCTCACCCCTGAGAATAAGAACTTTCACTTAAATGGGTTGCAAAGGACTGACTCTGCAGACGTGTCTTAGATTTGAAGTCATCTTACAAGCATCCTGGACGTGGTCACCATGTCCTAGCTTGGAGTCAGAAGAAAGGGACTCTGATGATGGGTTTAGGTGTAGTCAGGCACATGCTGTCCCTGTGAATTACGGAGGAGTATGCGTCACGCAGACAAGGAAGCTTCCCAGTCTACGTGCAACAGTGGTTTACCTGCATTGCAGGGTCAGCGGCCAGCACGGAATATGATCCCCAAGGTCTGAGAGAAGCGCCCCCCACCCCTGGCATTGTACAAAAGTCCAGAGTCCTTGGCAAGGAACTGTGATAGAACCCAAATCTGCACGTTTGCCATTTTCCCTTCAGGTCTGAATCAGAAGTATGAATGATTCATTCAACACACACTCTGAATTTTTACTTAGGCTGATTTTTTTTTTTTGATTGAATGTAAAATGTTAGCACTCATTGATCAAAAACTATCAGTGACCGCTTTGGGCATGTTGTGGAAATAGGTTGAAAAATGTGCTTCAGAGCATCAGGTACTCAGGAAGAGGAGAGAGATAAAACCTTACAACTTAATCAAAGTGAAATCACTTTCTCTAAGGAAATACCAAGGATGCTTTGGGACCCATTTAGAAAGTTATGAGACAGAATGGAAAGTCAACGTTATTAAAGAAAATGCATTAACAAATTTACCAGATATCAGGGGAAAATGGCGAAAACTAATTTGTCTGGATCGGAAACGTCAGAACATCTTTGGGCGATGAGAAAAATGCTTCTCTTCCAGCCGCGACGGAGAATATTCTAGCCATGTCACAGTTCTCTGTAGCTTTAGCAAAAAAACAGGGTGAGGGAGCCAAAGCGGAATTATCAAAC